TTGAACATAAATAGAAAGTGTTTATATAATTAGTTCGTCATCCATTGCGGCGCACATACGAAGAGGTATGACTGATGTATATATATATTACCTTGCAGAAATATTTCGTTATTTTAACTCACGTATGTAATAATGTAGATCAGCTTGTATATACTCTGTTACCTTGATTATCTGAACCAATATCTAACGTTACTTAGCCAGTAATGTCATACAACACATAGTTCGCACCTGTTAGCGCTCACATAGTGTATATCTACTTATCTGAGTTGGTCGTTTTAATAAGTTCCTCAAGAAAATCATGAGCATCCTCCTGTCCGGCGGTACAGCCATTGTCAGAATACGAATGGACCTAAGACGCGAATGTAGGTAAGGGTTTTCCGCAAAGGAGACGATCGAATCCCTTCACGTAATACTTTTATCTACAGACGAAAAAAGTCTTGAATAATGTCGGCAATATTTTTAGTCTCTTTTGTCGACGTTTTTATTTAATTTATAAATAAACTGTGTACAGTTCAACGTCTATTAAAAGCATAACTTCTCCGGTTGCTATTTTTCTGTCTCTCTGTATCTGGAGATAGTCGTGTTTACTTTGTGCCTAGATTATACCTCACTGACAATTACCTTCTTCAAGTAGAACTTGTCCCGTATCTGAGTGCGATGGTATCGAGACGTGTGTTTGGGATTATAGATAGTTTACAATTTTTCAAATAGAGATGTTACTTAGAGAGAACAAATAGATATAGTGAGACTGGATACCATACGTCTCCAGCCGTTTGAGCGAGACGAGTAGATATTTACCGCGAGCAGCACCAACAGCTGCAGATGAAACTATATAGTTTTTACATAGGCTCTTGGACTGTTTAATGGCACGATATATTCGCTCTATGTAACCCCTCACCTTGCTTGACATGTTGAGCTGAGTACCGTGTCAGGGATTCGAACAGAACCTGTTTTGTTCTATTTAGAAAGCGATATATTCTGTTTGCAGAACATAGCTCACCTATTTAGATGTTAACAAAAAAAAAGTCGACGAACGGTCATTGGCAGACTAGCTGTGCACCCAGTGATTTTCGATCAAATGCTGGGTTTTCTGCAGTTTACTATAAAAATGAGTGCTGTTTTCAGCTTGTTAATCGGTATAAATTAGGATTTCGATTCGAGGACCTTTCGCCGCCAACGTATCGCCTGTCTCAGCATGAAGCTAGTGATTGAATTTCAGTTTCTTATTAGTATGTATAATATATTTTTGTAGTTTAAAGGCGGGATACAGCTTTCGACAGTAGGGAATGAAATTTTGCACCGTGTACGATCGGCTTTTTGTGTACTCGCGAAGTTGTATTAAACGGAATTTAATACGTGTTAAAGTTCAAAGCATACATTTTAACAGATTTAATAACTATGCTGAAATTCTAGCTTCGTCAGAGAGCAATATTCCAGGTCAACGCGAGTCCAAGTTCGGCTTTTCTCTGACGATCTGTTCCTGATCACGAAGCTCTCACTAATCTCACGGTTTCTATCAATTACGGCTTCATATAGCTTGAAGAGTTTCTCTTTTGAGCTAAATAGCTTACCGTTGGCTAAAGAAATAAAGACTTCCTTATATCATAGTAATAGTATCATCATCAGACTATCTATGTTATGTCTGTATATACGCACCTATTCAGTAGCATGGTATTTATTTTACCTCGTAAAAGATGGCTGGCTGTGCTTGCTTTAACTAGGTACTTTTGCCTCGTTTGTTGTAATAAAGGTTCTACTTAGTCGCTATCGGCCTTCCAGACATTTTTCGACACACTTTACGCTTTATTACAAACCGTGCCAAGGTTTTCGCTCTTGCGGTTTCTGCTCAATGGCGCATGCAATTGACATGCCCATCAAGGGGTCCGACCTTCGAAATCGAATTGTAGCATCAATCAAACGCCTTCAACCCTACGCTTTTTGGCGCATTGTTATTAAATTCCATTTGATTGAACAAATATAATTAAAACTTGCGCTCTGGTTACGTATGCGATTGCGACCATTCTATACTCATTCGAATATTTAAAAACATACTTGCAGGTCACAGCATCTTCACCAGTTCTGTTCAAAATGTTCATAATCTTGCTGTACGTCTTCTACGGGTCTTCGCTTCGATCTACGTGAGAAAATGCTCGGGCAACAAATAGTTTGAAGAATTCACTCGGTGAGAAATGCGCACATTGTCCTGGATTTGGGTGTCAGTTTTCTATAGATCAGGCGCTATATCGTCCCCGATGACACAACGAAACTTTTAAAACTTTTTCCCTGCCGTCGTCATAGCCGTGAATTCTTGACTTTAAGCTACATAACGGACATCCGAGTTCTGGCGGGATGCCGCCCCACTTCATGTTTTAGAGGGCATCATGCGTAAGTTTATTAATGTAGCGATGCTTGGATGTCCATTACGATTGGGTCCGAAGAACGAGTGGATTGCATGGAGAAGAAATGCGGCAAAAAACGGATCTCATACGCAACGGACGGGGCATCGAAGGAGAACAGGAGACTACGTGTGTCGGTTACGTTATCTTCTTTACGAGGCTAGAGACGCCTTCATTCCGTTAGCGATTGAGGTCGAGGTATCTAGATAGCTGTGAGCCCTATGGCCTGACCGCTGACGCGGATAGCGCACTGAGTTACGATCTCAATCATTATTTGGTTGAGCTGTCTGAAGTAGCCGCGTTAGTTAACTGTAAAGACGACAAGCAGCCTGCTGCCGTTGTCGATTGAGATCGCTTCCCTATTGAACTGCAGATCGATGCAGAGGCACAAAAAGGGAGATCCTTGCTTCCGCAAAGCAAAAAGTTTATACTCTGTTACGTTTGCAGATCAGGGACACGCGCTTTTCGTACATGACATGAATACGCCGCTGCTGTAAGGAAAGTGACTCCGTTGGTTCCGTGATTGAGGTAGTAAAGCTTTTGCTAGCACGGCTATCCATGTTGTTGTGTATATGAGTGAAAAAAACAATTTATAGAGAACAGATTCGAATTTAAGGAATTTAAATCATAAAAAAAAATAGGATTGTCACTGGCACACTATAATTTTCTCTCGATATACTGAGAACTATTTTCTGTTTATAGTGTCAAGCTTCGTACAAATTTCCCCTGCAGTCTATGAGCAAGTTGTATGAAGGAGAGCTTTTTAGCGTAATCTGAACTTATCCTTGTAGGTGCCTCCAAGCTAGTTCTTCTATGATAGACCTCGATACCGCTGCGTAGCATTGCTTCAAACCTCTGTCATAGTGGGGGGCTAAATACGAGCAATCTGGAGGGATTGAATAGACGTAAAATTAATAGGTTCATCGCCTTTTTCATTGCACGGATTTTCCTACAACTAGATCCAAACATAAAGCATCTAAAAGTACTCTGGAATGGTGGGCAAACGCGTTGGCACTGCACAGTCGTGAAAGCTTATAATCCGATTCATAATAAGCCCAAAGCTGTGTGTAGCCAAGCGCCTTATCACGATACAACTTTCGTAGCGGTTATTGCTTTGTTGTTTAATGCTGTTTTTCCAAAAGGTCTGTTCGCTTGTGCTATACCTATGCGTGTTTTTGATGGCTATATAACGTAATTTAAAGGTAAGTACTCATGCTAGGAAAAATAGCGTCGTAGATGTCGACTAAGAAGGTCATACATGGATGATGCTTGTTGCAATTTTATAGAACATTGAACTATTCTATGCTTACTAATTACATAATAAACAGATAAATGTTTGTAAAGGGTCGTTCGAGTTTCAAGGCAACGTCTTTTATCGTAAACCCTAAGACATTGTGTGCACCTATAAATATAAAGCGACTTTACTATACGTAATTGTGAAACTTTAAGAGGCATCTTACCTTAATGACTCTTTCACTCGTAATATTAAATAGCTTACTCAACACGTAACCCAGCTACTATGCTGTACAAGCAATTCAGCTTGGGTCTAATTGTCCATGCTGCTGTTGTCAACTTGACAGAATAATCACAGTTGGTACAAGCAATACAGACGGCTTCAGTATGCGCGAGGATACAGTTCTGCATCAAACGCAAGGGAAGAGGAAAATTCTCGGATGGGTTTTTTTTTCATTCAGTGGAAATCTCCACCTTGGCTTGAAAGGAGAAACCAGGAAGAAGCTGGCTCAGCGAGAAAAGCAATGAGATTCGAACGTCGACTTCTCAGAGGAGCTAACCTAGATACAAGGACAAAGTGCTAGCCGAAAAGTGGTCGCAGAGCGCGCAGAAGCCGCTGCAGCGCAATGAAAGAGTCCCCATGATGCGGCCAGAACTAGGCACGATTAGCAGTGGATGGGCCATAGCTTGTGGCTGGATTTCAAGCGTCCTTTAGATCAATACGAAGCTTAGAGCGGAGGAAGCAGCGAGTCAGCTAGCCGACATTAAAGACTAATCGAAATCGCAAAATGAATCTATAATGTACACAGGAAAAGTAGGAAAATCAAGACCATGACAAAACACGCCTTGACATGGAGATTATGATACACAAGCCAGACTCTGTCTGGCTTCTGTATCACTTCGAAAAGCGCTAATGGTTTAGCAAGAAAGAGAGAAAGGTTCATGGTCTGTCATTCGATGGAAACAGAAACCGTAACGGCCCCACGTGCTAAAAGCAGAGTGAACTGTTAAAAGCCGATTGAAAATTATAGCAGAATTGTAGCCGACAGAGTTAAAGCAAGTATGTGCGTGTATTTCGAATAATGACGGAGAGATTTATTGATTTTTGTTCTACTAAAGCTTTGCCAGTCATAAATGAAAATGAACATGGCCTTACTGAGCTGCTAATTAATTATATATATATATATATATATATATATAAGTTAACCCATCCTATTCTATTTGGGCACGGTAATGATTGTAAGATTTTCCTTTCAAACCAAAGTAGGTAGCAAAGTTATAGCTAATAGAAGACCAAGTATATGTCGTATGCAAACGCAATTGTTTTATTAACCCTATTGTAAACTTATAAAAATACAAGCATATTTTATGAACTAGCGACAGTATATCGGTATATAATAATTAGAAATCCGTGCTTTATTTGATCTGCTTCTTTTGAATCCGCTCATTCAATTTATCGGTATATACTTCCTATCTGATTCGCTCTAGCTGATCGTACCGTCTTTTTCTTTGTCAGTGCCTTCGGTGCTAGCTTACTTAGTATAATGAATTTTGGTCAATCTGTGATGATAGTGATGTACTGTTATGCGACCACGCGTAGTTTCGATACCAGTAAAAAGAAACTGCTGGATCTTACCAAGCAGGCAGCCTATTCGCTTTAGTATCGCCATCATGGCCGCTACCTTTATGATTTCACCTTGGTTCTCATTGAATTAACAAACAGCACTTTATCCTCGCGTAATGACATTCACATCCAGAGATTACCGTAGGTAATACTTACGTCGTGAAGACAGCCAATCCCAGATTTATTTATATTAACGCAAAAAAATCACTTATTTTACATCTCTCGTATTTGCCCATACAGCATTTGCTGTGAGTGGATCGACATCCTGATTTAGTATCACCAGTAAATTGTCCTTCTTTATTGTCACAACTGATCTACAATTTAACACTATATTTTACACATTAGAGTTTTTTGCGTATATTATTCTGTGAGTACTTTTGGCCGGATAGGACAATAAATGTATGTCAATATAGTATGTTCTTCCTCTCTCTCTCTCTCTCTCTCTCTCTCTCTCTCTTTCTCTCTCTCTATACATATCCAACCACAGGCACAGAGACACACACACACATATATATATATATATATATATATAGAGATCATCACATTTTGTTACATCACGCGCGGTGCATCACAATGCAAATGTGTACCGACAAATGCTCCCCTGTCACCTTTTTTTCCGTTTGACATAGTCGATCTGCACCTGATTAATTAAAAGCATGTACGCATATATTAAGCTGCGCTTCGTAGACTTTTTTTGAAACCCGACCGAAGAACCAGCTTGTTTACCGTGCTGAACGAGCGTCAGGGGCTTTAATTTCTTCAGTATGATGGCTTTACAATATATTTTCCTAGATATATAAAGTGTTGAGGTTTTTATATATTAATATACAGTCTATTTTATGGCATTGAACGGCAGTGGATACACGTGGCTGAGAAGTACCAAGTGCATCAGTTCTATCTCAATTAGACATCTAATCAGCTACTAGTTTGTACCTGCTATATCAAGAGCCACTAATCACAGAGTATCTACTACAATCCGATCTATTGTTTGGTATACGCCTTAAATGGCCTCAAACAGAAAAGCTCAGGTCTAAAAAAATACATTTTTGTTATTTCCATTACGCTCGAACATAAGTGAAAAACGAACCGACAATATGTGGCACTACAGAATATTTCGAATCAGGCCATTTGTTAATTAGAATTGTAAATAAAAAACCTTCAAAAAAGTGTGCGCTTAAAACAAATACAAAAATATCAGCAGGCAGATGCGTAATATTCAAATACGATGTAATTGAATAAATTATTTAATAAAGGTGTACATATATGTGCTGAAGGCCTCTTTTTTGTATTTTTGGCAAAGTAGCCTGGCTATTCACGGCCACCATTAGTATAGACTTTCTCGTCTTACAATATTAAAGGCGTGACTAATAAAAGTCATTTTCTGGTAGTGACAGACCTTCAATGATGGACTATAGGGCCAGTGGATCGTGTCTATTTTTAGTCCATAGTCCTTCTTAGTGTTTTCCTAAATACGCTTACATTTCCGTGGTCACACATCAATACAGCTGTCCCATTTTGCCGCACGGAACACAGACAAAGCTCCGTCGGCCTTAAATTTTGCCTATGAAAACCGCCTTGGGCGGTATAATGTTCCATTCACAGCGTCACTGGATCTTTTCTAAATGTTCCTTATTAGAGACGGCTAGCCTCTTGACTTTAAGACTAGGACGAATCGTCGGAACATCGGGCTGGCGCACGATGTAAGGTTAGCCGTCAGCACAGATTGTGTATGAGAGTATCTCGACGAATCCAGAGCGTAACGAATTCATATAGGTTAATTTTGATTAGGAGATGTTACAAGAGTTGTGTCTACGGCCAGCGATCTTCGGATCAGAAGGACTCGCGACGAAAGTCGGTATCGAACTCTTGCGTTGTTTTGACTTCTTAGGCTTCTCGGGTAGCTCGTAAGGCACCCCGCAAAGTGTTAACAGCCGATTAAATATATCCACGATGCAACGGTTTTCACGAGCCCAGCAATGTACGAATCCAACCTGTCAGGTTGGAAAATTACGCTTTAAACACTACGTTTCAATAGTGAGATGTTACAAAAATAATCAGATACTCAAGTGTGTCTCAGAGCATCTCAGAGTTTATGCTGTCCAGTTGCTAGTATGGAAACTAACTAATTCCTAGGAAAGGGTTAAAACAATCAATCTACGTATCCTGTTGACTTGGCGAGCCCCAAATGTCTTCAGTCCTGACTTGGCTTCGAAAGACCCGCTGGCCTGGGGTTATTTAGAAGCAGAAAATAAGTACCAGTAAGTAGAGAGAGAATGAATTTTGGTCAAAATTAAAGACGGAATGAAAACAACAATTTTAGGAAGATCTAGTTTTTAGTTTTACAGTGACTTCACCTTACTAGAAATGATCTAGCTAGCTCAGTGCAAACTGGGTCTTTTGTATCAAACGAAAATACTGTTAACCGTATTGGCACCTCTCGCAAAGGGTGTTTGAGGTTTATATTTTCTTCTTGTGATCTCGTTCAGTTCTTATAAGAATTCACGAATTCGTACCTAACATTTTGTGCTATAAGTAGATTTCTGAAGTCGGAGGTGGTGTGATTGGAGTTCTCAAAATGAATAGGGATAATGGGGATAGGGAGCAGGCAGAGTAGTGTATAAGCGGAACATCTTTGTGCGTACCTCCCAGTCGAGAACAGCAAGGGACTCGGCGAGCTCACGGGTGATAGCGCATCGCTCCGGGGACTCTTCGAGCAGGTCACCTTTATTTCCGACTACGACCATCTTAGGCTCTTTTCGGTTCAACTTCAATATCGATTCTCGTAGCTGACAGATCTGCTCGAATGAATCTCGGTTGTTGTACGAGAACACCAAAAGGAAGGCGTCCGCTGTAAGAATTAAAAAAATATACTGTATATATCTATATTTAAGAGCGTGGCAAGCAAAACCATACACTATGCCATCAACTCTTTCACTTAACTTGAAAACGTCCAAAAAAAGGAAATAACATTATTTCTAATATTTGCACGCTTCTTGCAGTTTCAGTTAAAAGATATACAACTTTACACTCCTGTGCAAGCCGTTACCTTCATTCGATTCGATGTAAATGCACGAGAACTGTTTCACCTGTGAGATTCTTTAGACCCTTTGTTAGGGCATTAAATGCTATATTTAAATATATCTAGAACGAAAGCCTATTTCGTTCTCTGAAATAATGTAAACGCAGCTAAATCTTGATCAGCATTATCTAAAAGAACATAGCTTAGAGTCTATGACGATTCCAAGCTGGAACGTTGTACACAGTTCTTTGCCGCGAGCTAAGAAAATAAGGTACCATTCGAGTCTTTTGCCCATCCGTATAGAATGTATCGAGTAATACTAGACTGGTTCTCCTGGGCTGGGTTCGAAAACAGATACACCTGTAGTAAGCTTCTCTCTATTTGAGTGTCTCAGTCAATCGACGAGAGGAGCATATGCCTATAAAGTATAGATCAGTTAACGACAGGAGTAACCGTGTCTGCACGTATCCCTTTTCTCTATTTTACTGACGGTGCATACAAGCAAAGCATTAACCAGAGTATTCCAGACAGTTTCAATGTGACACACATCAGATGCCACGCCTTTTGTGTATAAGAAATTCGGAGTGACTGTACATCTACTACACTCGAAGAACTCAGCAGAGGACGGTGGCAAAAAGAGAAACGACCAGTCGCATATTATAGCGTAATAAATATAATAGTAGATATTGTAGTATAAATAAACTTACTTCATACTTCGGGGATACTTCTCAATGGAGCAATGTGAATCGAGGGACATTCTATAGGACTATACTTAGACACAAGACAAAGCCCAAATTGATAGGCGGAAACCTTTTCCATTTTGCATACGCGCCACATATATGCTTGTAAGCACTGAAGCTTTTGATATATCATCAAAACACCTAGGGGGTAACTTGTACTTCACAAACGTCGTTCACTGTAGAAGTAGCTTGAACAAAACAGCGACGCTGTAAAAATCGTATGAAAACGTACCTACTTGAATTTTACGGCTGTAGGAAACTGGCTGTTGGTGAATTCTGCCAAAACTAATTGAGACAGATGGAGGTTCGAGTCTACACGTGCGACCAAAGAAGACCCCCGTAGAATAATTTTGTTTCCTTGATTTTCTAATCATTAAATTTCCAACATTTAGAGCGGGGAAATAGAGAAGACTGTGGTATTTATTGTGAGGTTATGGCTTTTGAATCATTGCCGCGTTCTAATCGAAAAACGTACACCGATGTCATTTTGAGATGAGAACTATTTTGAAAGGGCTTCTTCTCATTTCAGCTAAAAGATGCTTTATCTCCTATGTTCACACGTGACAAGTGTGCGAATATGTATTTAAGTCTAATGTGAATGTGAATGTACGCTATAATGTGCTAATGTGTTTTGGCCAAACTGAATTGAAGACGCCGTTATACTTCTAGCTTGTAGTCATATAGGCGTACGCCAGCGGATAATGGATAAACTGCAACGTAACAATAAATCCTTATGCTAGAAAAGGCCTTGGACCAAATAACTGGCCAATGCGAGGTCTTCCACTCGTTTCCCTCGATGAAATAGCGCAAATAACATATCTGACCTTTCTGCATATTGAGTTGCTGCTGAGCGGGGAACTCCATAGCTCCTGAGGTGTCGATAATGTCCAGCATTACTGAAGTGCCATCGAATTCCATTTCGCCTTGATGGAATTCCTCTATTGTTGCAGTATATTTCTCAGGCGCTGATCCATATAGAAACTGTTGGACGATAGTTGTCTTACCTGGCACGATTTTAGAAAAATCGAACAAAAAACGGTATAAGCGAATAAATTATGCTACACTTGTCAATACCATTTATGTTGCATTAGTTAGTAGTACACTTTTTTGCGCAGTCTGAATAGTGTCGGCTCACCGTAGGGCATACGAAACTTCCGACGTAGAAACAATTTCATATCAATTGCTAGCCTGTTAACGTTGACTCAGGCACAGAGAAGACATACAAAATTCCCTGGTATTTAAATTTGCTTGCTTCCAAACACTTCTACATGTTACAGCATGGGAAGGTCAATCTTAGATCGCGTTTGCTCAAAGGAGAAGGGGCACTTCATAAAGATTCTACGTTTAGAAAATACTTCTTGTTGATTCATCTTTGGCTTCAGCACGAGATTGAAGACTTGCTTGGTGGTCAACGTACGTTTGGAAGGCCAAAACCAGTAATTGCCATGGATGGCTTGAACTACAACGCTCGAAACAGTAACGTTTATATCAGGCTCTGAGATATTATTCGTACACACCTACCTCAGTCGCTGCTAAGAACCGAAACCTTTCGAAATTAACGTATCCAAACGGTCATTACATAAGTGCTCATACAAAATACATTCGTTGGAGATATTAACGGTTTGAACTCCTTTTCAGTCTAAGACAAACAAATCAATGGAAAATTCTGCCTTTATTTTTCTAAAGGTTGCAAAATGATTCAAGAGAATCTAACGATTAGTTCAGTGCTCTCGAAACTCCCAGTATCGTCCTCTTTAAAAAAATAGTACCACGTTGTCGTTAGCCCCATTTTTACCTAGTGCCATAAAATATCATATAACGGAAACCTAGCAACAGAGAGGTAAGGTTCGCTTAACGAGTCCAATCATAACAAACTGGACATAGCAGTGTCAGCAGCTGATTCCGCGCTTACCAACTTTCGGGGCTCCGAATACGACGAGCGTGAACCGGTCGCGCACGCTGACGAGCGGAGACTCGTCTGTTTCGACCGTTCGGAGCGGTGAATCCAGCTTCTGCGGCATTTTCACTGGTTAGTCGCTTATTCCTTTTCTTATGAGTAGGCAAAGGATAAATATAACGACTATTAATTAGAGGTCATGAAACTAAAACTGCCCCACACAAAGTTTTTTGGCATAGTATGTTCTAGCCAAGTAGAAAATTCGGCTATACTCTACCTTACGCCTAAAACATCGTGGGCGAATAACGCCATAATCCACACCTTTAGAAATATCTGCGATGTAAGACATTTGAGCTAGGCAGTCATTCACCCTACTAAGACCCCGTCAACGAGACTGGCAATCACTCCAAGTCGATCTCAAACTTTCTATGAATATTTATCATCCTAACTTAAACATAAACGCCTCCAACTACAGTAAGCTATCTACTTTTCAAAATGATTTTTTCAAGTAAACTGTAAACTCGAGTAAACCGTGTGGCTTTTCAAATAGTTAGATAAGCTGGTGCATATTACCGACCCGTTCTTCAGTATCCAAAAACGTTCTTTTTAACACAATAACCATGAGGACTCAAAAAAAAATAACGCAGTCTATTAAGCACTTGTGTCGATACTTAAATGCATCATTTATCAGTGAAGATCTTCCGTCAGTAAAATCCAATCGGCAAACTTTGTCGTCCAACATATTGAATTAGCTCTTGTCAACAAACTCCATTTTCAGTCACATGCATAATAAGGCTGGCATTTTTCCAGATTGTTATTACAAACATAGTGCTCTGTATATCCAACAGCCTTACACTTATATACACTGAATAACTATTGAGCCCGATTAGACTGTTCATTAGAGAATTCTTTAATTTAGTTTATTTTAGTTAGGAACCAGGTACTGGAATTTAAAAGTTAACTTAAACAATTATCTTTCCGGTTTTTTTGCCTAGTAGAAAAAGAAGTTAGTATATGCCAAAATGTCTCTGGTAATCATACCTTTGACGAGGAGTTCTTTGATCTTCTACTTGTACAAGGTGATGCACCATTAAGAGACACAACACGTATCAACGGCAGCTTTATTTAGAAGCAAACAGTGCAAGATGGAGCACCGGCGGACCAAAACTTCGGTCACCCAGAGAGAACTACACAATCGTTGAACGAACGAAGCTTGTTTATAGTTTGTGAATTTATCGCTTGCGCTCCTTTATAGGAGCCACGCGGGGCGCCCTCTATGTTTTGCAGGCCACATCGTTTGGCGAGGGAATCCTCGCGTTAGGAGAGGGTCGCCGAATTCCCACAAGAGAAAAGTCGGTAAAACAGAATATTGAGGAACTGGCAAACGAAGAACCACCTTATCACCATGCAACTGGTTGGTGGTTGCGTCGACTGAGGTTAGGGAAAGAATGAGGATTTTACTGGAAACTATGTGAAACGTGCTGCACTTCAATAAAGGCCGCTTTCAGGAGGGGGCAAACTTCCGAGAGCTGTCCGTCCTGCAAATCCGATAGGGCCCCGTCTAGTTTCTTTGACTTTGCGTGAAAGGATTGCTTCTTCCCTAATCGATCTACGACCAATGCATTTGCGTCCACGCCGGGATTCGATGTACAGGGGTAGCAACAAGGAGCTCTAGGAACTCGCACCAAAGCAGAAGTTGTCATGTCTTCGTTTAGGACAAATAACATCAATCGGGACATAGTGACCTGATAGACGTAATGCTGTATACGGCCAGCCGTGGCGTTGCTATACAGATAGAGCAAATCTGCGAAGGATACAGATCAAGATCTATTATGCACAAGCATTCGCCACGGCCTAGATACTGAGTCACTAAAATGTATATTTTGACCATTTGTAGGCGAATCCGACCTCTGTTGCGATGTTATAGAGACGTCATAAAGAAAAGTAATGGTTTGTAAAAGATGTAATTGCTTCCAAAACATAACTGTTATTATATTTAATTACTTATTTCCTATTACTATTGATTAATTTCCTTTTCTTCGACGAAAAAAAAAAAACAATCCAACTAATATATGGCATCTTTGAACATTTGAACCTGCAGCTACTTGTGAAGAGGTTACAGTCAGCGACAGTAATAGAAGGATATTTTCTAAGGAACTGTATATTGCGTTTTCGTAAAACACTATTCTCTCTCAAGCACCAAAATTTGCAATTTTGTCCTATTTTAAAAGTGGTAGTAACAACAAGATGTGGTCGTCTGATGGTGGATCTGGATGCGCTTAGAAAGCGTATTGCAATCTATGCAGATCAAACCTTACAAAAAGAGACCATGAAAAGCAGTAGTAAGGTAAGGTGCAGGTTTCGAAGTTTCAGAAGCCTTAAGCGTCTGAACGTCTGAACGTTGACAATAATCAACACACGCGCTCTAAGTCCACGAATCAAAGTTTTTGGTGGTACGTTTCTTCATGTCTGTTAAGTTCAACTGTGCGTTCTACAATAAGAGCAAAAAGGGCCTAATATGGCGAGCAGTTTCTGTTAATGCAATATGTGTCTACTAGCTACTACTAGTACTAGTTGTATGCGCTCTCTAGCACCTTACGATTGAACCATTGTTCGGTAGGTACCTGAGAAATACCTATAGATTGAATAACTATAAAATATTTGCCTTAGTTATAAACTGGTTGAAAAAAAAAAAAAAAAGGTAAGGTGCAAATAAAGATATCTGCCCATCTAAGTGGTGACACGCATTGTGCGTAAGGTAACCGTTCGCTTACTGAAACGCGCATGTTACGTTAGACATATGGCTAAAATTTAAATACTACCAGTGAAATTCAACGTAATACCTGCTAAATTAGAACGTGGTCAGAAAAACGGGAACAGCGATAAAGATGAATTCCGTACAGATAAATTCTACTAATTATCATATAAAATAATGATTTTTGCCTCCCAAGTATGGCTATATCTAGAGCACAATGTCTGTCGACGACTACGCAGATTTTATGCTCAAGAAATGTTCTTAAATAGTTTTCTCCCTGAAGCGAAGCAACGTTCTATAACGGTGTAGCTTTCAAGGTACATCATATCGCCGCAAGGTGCAGTAGTATACGGATTTCGGTATCATTTGCGGCAATGTAAGACCATATAGCTCTTATGGTTGTATTCAATGAGGACCTTACATCCAGGCCAATAAAGTGAAAGTTTGTGATCGTAAAAGCTGAAAACTCCAGATAGAATTTTACATATACATATATATATACACAGAAATTATATTTTGAAAAACAGATGAAATGTACAGCAAACTTTGCATAGGCGTATACTAGGTATATGACGCCAAGGGCTGCTCATTTACCCAGGTAACGTCCGGTTAGATAGAAGGATTGCAGGACTGTGCGTAGCAAATAAGGGCAGACGAGATAGTTTCTAATCGCAACAGATAAGTTATATCAGTCCTGGCTTTTTCCTTCAGCCTGACAGGTGCGCGCCTTACTATATATAGGCTTCGTGATGTGCAATGGCAATGAAAGAAACAAGTCACCAGAATTTGGTACTTCCTACTCAGCAACAATTATTCGTAAATTTAAATCGAGGGGTGCTGTTGACGGAAATTTTGAGTGTAGATTTAAAACTGGTAGTTTGTCAGCTTCTACCAAAGAATTCTATTGGACAGTACGTGAAAATGAGCAGCGTTTCATTTTACTGGGATAGGTAGTTCTCGCAACAAACATAGTTTATATCTACTACTTTACATAGTTCTGAAGCCGCGCCATGTAAGTTAAATCTTCGAAATAAAGTTGCTCGAAACTTACTCACTTTGGACCAAAAAGTATGCACTTTTCTTTAACAAATCCTAACCACTGATATCAGTAGTTGCAATTTCTGAATTTTACTATTCGTCGAAACTATTTTTTAGGCAGTGGTCCTTGCGTAACAGACATTTTCACTAATTCAAATACACTTACATACTATACTTTTGTAGAAAGGATGCGAACATTTGACTACTCGAGGACATAAAGAACATATATATCGAGAATCTTACTTCACATGCCCATTATGATCTCGATCATTAAACCAATGTGTCTGCTAAGCGCATTCACCCTCTAGTCTAACAAATGAATTTTCCTAGCCGCCCACATGAAATTTGGCTAGATATGGAAAATTTAATCGTCTGTGGCGATGATCATAACGATGACGCCGTCTTCGGGAATCTGTAAAATCAATTGCCGTAATCATCTTGGCTTTCGTTCAACGTGTAGAGGAACCCCGACGTATTAACATTGTTGCCAGACAAATCTCGTCGTCCAGTCCAGTCCTGACCTAAAGGCAACTGGATAAAGGTCGTCTGGATCAAGTTAACCTGTGTGGAGTTATAACTTTTTGTTGTTGTGGGGATCAAAGTAAGTATTAACTTTTTACGCCTTTCTAAGCTGACACTGTTAGGTTATTTTTGAGAACGTGGCATATTGATGATACTTTTTGGGATGCTGGAAGTATAGGGAAAATATACGCAAAAGTAGATTGAGGCATCTGATAGTATTAGTGAATCTGCTTGTAATATCGCAAACAGCTGGTTTCGACGTATATATAATAAGCGCTACCAATGGGCTTCGATCTTATGGATATGAGCTGCATTGAAAACTAGATCATCGAATAAACGGATATGTGTTCCTCTAATCGTTGCATAAGTCTGTGCAAAGGCAAATGCTAAATATTTTGAAGAGACACCCTAAAACGAGACACTCTGGCAAAACTAGTCTAAAATTAATTTATTGACCCATTTCATCTGACTTTTTGGTTTCTCGTCGAGCTTCTGCAACTCAGAAACTGCTATTGGACAAAAATGGCTTCTAGATAGAGAGAAAAGTAAATGCTATTCTCATAGTTTCCATCCAAAGTTATTTTAACGCTTAGGGGAAATTGCAGCAGGAGGTACCGGCGGGAACCCAGCGCGATCCTGCGTTCCAAAGAATGGCATCCGGCCGTTCTATCATTTCAGTACGGGCTGCTGGAAGATTCGGTGAATACAGATTGCCGACCGGATGCTAAATTTAACCGGATTCACGTAAGCTACCATAGCCCAGAAATGCGGGCCACGTGTGGACGTTCGGCCGAAAAATAGAAATCCTCCTTCCGTTGGACCTCGGTGGCCTAACAGAATCCGACCGAAGCTGTTCGGGCCATTGAGGCCGTTGAACGACTGTTTTGGTAATCGTCTTACCTAAGGTCTACTGGCAGCAGGTATCGTTATATTAAAGAAAACATTCCATTTAATATTGGCGACGGTATAGCTGTCCTACTAGTTTAATTAGCAGTGGAGGTAATCTCCAAGGGTCGACGATGCAAGACGACTACAGTTTGTCCATATTATTAAATAGCAAGTTGAGGATTTACTCGTTTTGTCAATACGTCTGAGGCACCTCTTCGACGGCCCATATTCGAGGAGCTGGAATACTGGGGGTATTAAGTTTGATGGTAGTTGCCTAACGGAGTCTAAGTATGACACTTGTCTGCGACGAACGAAATTTTTTTCAAATATTCAAATTGACGATATGCGACAATTGTATAATGAAGTATTACTAAGCTAGCCGGTCTGTCTTTATTCTTAAGGACAGTGTAAAGTTGTAAGACAACTTTTCAGTAGTCTTGCATAGCAGTACTAAGTAAACAGCTTGACCCCACAAGTGGGCAGGCAAGCAGACTGACTAAGCGTCATCTTTGTAAGCACCTTTATCAAGAGCCTGAATTACATGTGTCCTACGTTCCGCTCGTCATACTAATAAGGTTGCAGCGTCCAGTCGGTCAACCTAAGTAATAAACTTTGACGTTTTTAGTCTAGACTCATTCCTAAATATAGTCCAGACCGGCTAATAGCAACTTATAATTATTATGAGGTCTTGCTATTTTGAAGAGATAACGGATGTGATTTCCGTGACGGCGCAGAGCATAAAAATCTTCGCCTATTAAGATAAAGAATGTATGAAATAACCCAGGTGCAAAAACGGGCGTAAAATGCCCCGTACTATACTGGAGGCCAGTTGTCTTAAAAAATGTTTAACGGCAGTACTACACTTAGCAATTGGAAACTTTTTTTGGGTAACTGTTATAAAACTTTTATCTCGTAGATCTTTTTGTGGAGTTATAAACCCATATAGTAGTAAGGTATTTCAGTTTGGTCGAGTGTTATA